AATAAATCGCCAGTGTCTGAAAATTGATTGCTGATGATATGACTTTTATCAAACGTCCTTAAGGAAATGATTGATGTTACACATACAGTACTGTACCTGTAGGTCCCTAGGATATTTCAATGCTCTCTTAGATTGCAGAAGTACCCCCGGATTGGACATTTGCAAATGTACAGTAACAGCAATCCACAAAGTACGGAACAGTTTGGAATCAGGAAACTATAAGACCAATTAGTCTTACTTTTGTCATAAATAGCTGTAGGTTTCATAATGTTACAATGGTGTTCATGGGGATTAGAAAAGATGGATTCAAGCTCAGGTTACAACTGCATTCTGCTCCAGCAATACATCATTAATGTAACACAATTTGGGAAGTCCAGTTAATACCCCAAGAGGTAATACGTTTGCATTTAATTAAATAAAGATTAAAGAACATATAATCTTTAGAACATAAAATCTTAATCAGCTTGGCTATATGGATGAGTCAGTAGTCACCTTCATAAATTGTGCCAGTTGCTGTATTAGTAGTGTTGGGGTTCATGGAGGGGATCTACAGCAGAGATTTCTGGTAAGCCAGAAGTTCCTGTACTATTATTTAATCATTAAACTGATTTCTTCCCAACATTTTTATTTTATATAAAGTTCAGAAAAGAGTAACAAAATGTAAAAAAATAGTACCAATGTGAAAACATGACCAATTTCCAAAAAGATCCCAGCCATCTAAAATGTAGATTTCAAACACAGTTGCCTACAAACAAGAAGCAATTGTGGTAAATGTGTCTTGTAAAGATATCACAAGTATCAAAGCACTACCATCTGTGTTTGCCATAGTTGGTTCTTAATTCAACTTTAAATCTTTGGGATCTTTAAAATTAGCTTTTTTCACAATGATATTATTATTGCTAAGATACACAGTACTTATAAAGTATTTAAATCTGTAGCTCAAATGACACTGGGTGATCCTTCATAGTACGTGTCAATGCATTATCTTCTGTGGGTATTTTACCAAATTTTCTGTGTGTACCGTTTGCTCTAGTAACCGAATGCAGCTCTGGAAATTCAAGAATACCATTGGATACTAAATCATTGACAGCTATGGCTTTCAATAATACACGAGGCAGTTATAAATCTTTCCCCTTGTGAGGAGTAAAGAAATCATTCAAAAGTGGTTATTAATGAATTAGCGGAATAGTGTGCCTTTAAAGCCTGAATGCAAAAAATTAAGAAAAAATTGAGAGAAATAAGACTTTAAAAAAATATTGATAGAATTGTACTGTATAATATCTATTGCCATATACTTAATTTTACTACTGTATATTTATACAATTATTCACCAAGTTGATGTTTTGGTGAATACTATCGATTCTATTAAGTTTTGGAAGTCTAATTTCTCTCAATTTCTTTCTTATTTTTTTTTGCATTCAGGCTTTAAAGACCTAATAGTGTGTTGTGTTGTCACTTATCCTATCTTTTCTCTGAAAGTCTTTTCTTCCTGTAAGAGTTGTGGCACTCCGAACTCTATCCAGGAAGTACAGTGCACAAGTGGGACTGCACCACAGACAATTTTGTACTTTGGGTATTTATTATAATACTGTAGATATAATAATCCCATTCTAATTTAATGTGAAGAATACAATAATGCTAAACAATAAGTGATTTTTTAAACTTATTTTTTCATTTTTTCATGATTCTGAACTTCAACATTATACAGACGTTTCTGATCTTTCTTTTAATGTATAAGGGGTGAGAAAAATAACTTAAAACATGTACTGTCAATATTCGGACACTAGGTGTGTCAAAAGCTTACTTTGTGTAACTCCAGCGTCCTGGCCAAATTTCCAATTGGCCTTTACCAATCATGGACTCCTTATACTTCCCATCAATTAATTGGCTTCATTACTTTGCTCTCCTCCGCACTGATAGCTGATGTGTGGTGAGCATTCAGGTGGATGCTGCACATTGGCGATGGTGAGGGGGAGTCCCCATTACCTGTAAAACACTTTGAGTGGAGTGTCCAGAAGATATATAAAGTGTAAAAAAGTGTTACTGACACAAATTAGTGACACTAGACAATGCTATACCCCTCATAATAATGCAACTTTTGTAGTGGAATTAATGGAGACTCAAGCTCTTAAACTGTGTCCCTCATCCAATATTAATGGACAGTAAATAGATATTACAAGATTTGCACAGTGAATTTGATTGTAAGAAAGTAATTGCATTTCTCAGCACTGATTTAGTGACATTGTCAGACTCAAAACCAATGTTATTATTTGCAAGGTTAAACATTGCAAACACTTCACGTACATATAAACACTTTTTAACGTTCTTATTAAGTGATTTGGTGACAGTATTTATCCTATTCCAAGCCATATTAGTTATTCTTCAACAAAGTTTAATCATCATCGTTATCCTAATCTTGGCGGTACAGAGGTGTGGGAGTTAATGTAGCTGCCTCAAAGTTGTCAGTTCCTGGGTTTGACTGTGATCTGGGGCATCTTTGAGATGCTCTTCTTTTTTTTTCCTTTTAAAAATATATAACTGTCTCTATTTATACACTAGTGACCTATCCAGTGTAGTCTGGCTTGTGTCCTGTGCCTGCCAGTCCACATTCCATAGCACCTTGATTCTCAAAGGACAAAGCAATTTCTGAAAATGGATTATTCCTATTCTGATTCCTATTCTTAAAACCACGGGGCTGTTTAATAACAAAGACAGGATCATTTGTAAAGTCATAAGTGGCACCTGATGATGATAGGCCAGCAGCATTTGTAGAACGAATACAAATCAAACTGAGAATGACTGGAATCCAAAGATGTCAGTACATTGGTGCTGTTTTGTCTGTTATTGTAGAGCTACAGTAGAATTGTTTGGCAGCAATAAGTGTAATAACAAGACCTCAGGGAAGTCTGTTGTATGACCAATACAATCAATCAGGCAAGAAATTAACTACACCATTAATGTAACAAATTTCTCAACATGATAATTAGGAAGAGCTCCAATGTTTGGCACATATGTGCTACAAAATTAATGATTTCAGTCTGCTTTTGGACCCATGTTTTCTGGACTGTAGCAGAGAAGACGTTTTCTTTAAAATGCCTTGCATTTTGCTTTGTAGAGATTTCACAATATTTTATGAAAGCATTTATTATTTTTCAGAAATGTAATGAAAGACAGTATAAAAAGCTAGTGGCTGTGTTTATTCTAATTTTCAATTACAGCAGTAAAAAGATGATGCATAGCTCAGAATGAAGCCTACCCAAAGAAGAAACATGAGCAGTTAAATATTTGAAGTTAATACCCACTTTGAAAGCACCCAAGTGTGTTTATGTTCATGAAATATTCAGTGTAATTGGACTTTGGCAATCATGCCTGTTGAAAAATGTTAAAACTCTGTTGTATCAAAAAATCACAGACCTGACTCCTCAGCTCAGTAATGTAATTTAATACCTGTGTTGCTCACACTGGAGACTGTAGAACGCTACCAGAGTTAAGGGATGGAATTTATCAGTTTTTTAGTGCTGTGCCTAGTTTGGATTGTGAGTGAGAGAACACTAAAAAGAGGCACAATTTAACTGACTGTAAATGGTGTTAATGAATATTTGGGGAAATGGGCTTGCCTTCTTGATTCTGTGCTTGGAGGTTGACTAAAAAATGCCACAGATGTTCTGTTGTGAAAAGAGTGAATAGTGGATTATAATGATGGTCTAAATCTCCCAAGTGACACTTTAGCACTGTACAGAAATGCACAATAACCCATAACTATGCAGCAAAATTATCATAAAAGATGGAGGCAAAACAGCTGGCTAGATATCATTTAAGCTAAGTAAATCATGCATTTTATACATCACACAAAGTGTGGGAGAAAAGAGCTAGCATGAACCTCCCACATGGCACTAGAAAGAGAATAAGTGTTCCAGAACCCTTTAGCATATTTTATTCCACAAGTACTATGCTTTGCTACATAGCATTATATGGTTGTATGTAAAATTCCATAAGTGACATCTTTTTGTAGCTTTGTAAAACATTTTTTGAAAACGGTAACAGAAAATCTGAGTTGTGTATGTCCCATTGCTTCTAGTTTTAGGAGTAGGACGAAAGGAAATACAACTTGTGGAGGAAGAGAACAAACATTACGGATAATATCATATCCCTAAGGCATATCTAGGTAATCTACCAGACCTAGGACCTAGCAGTCAAAATAGTCTACTGCCCTCAAATGGTTTTAAGATTGTCCTTTTCTTCAAGGGGCTCAGACACAATCACAATATATTTTGCATCTGATGGGAGCACATGACAAAACTGTTTCCAGTCAGCTGCAATCTGTTCTTCTTTCTAAGAAAACAGATACAAAAACCCTCAATTGCTACAGTACTTTATTCTTACTGTACCCCCCACACACTGCTCTGTTTAGCCCTTAGAATGTTGCTACTGTACATGAATCTGATTTTATACTGCCACTTTGCAATCAAATACTTTTCCGGCTTGCAATAAGAGCACTTACTCACTGTGGTAGAATTTTATGTTGTAAAGCAATGTGAGTCAATCTATTTCTGCCTGCATTTATAAATGGGAGTACTCATGAACAGTGACATTACTTTCATTGCTTTGTTTGATTCAACATTGGTTTTTTACTTGTTTTTCTTTGTAAACTGTTTTTTTTAAAGAAAAATCTATCATTTACCATTTACTATGGCCATCCAAATTCTGAGCTATGTCTCTTGATCTCAAAGATGGATGCGGCTTTGTTTGGGGGAGTAAATATGTCCATAGCAGACCTAATTGCAATATTCTTGATCAGCAGTCATCATTTGTTCTAGCATAATAATCACTTTATTTGGGTACAAAATGCTAAACTACAGTAAAGTAACATAAAGAGAGAAATTTGTGACGTAATAAAGAAGTTGCATATTACATAGCGTGTGATGTCATCATGAGGTTAAGCAGGTTTTAAACAGAAGCTTCTTGTTAGCTGTGCTGAGATTGTTTTGACCCACATAAATGCACTGCAAACATGAGGTTATGCAAGAATGTCAGTTTCACTTCACTTTTGGGCTTGACTAGTTTTCTTCAACATTACTTCTAATCTGAGGTTAGTGCTAATCCCCTGTAGAGACTCAGGCTGGCCTGAGGTTTTAGATCTGCTATTTTTATGATAATTTTTCCTTCTTTCTTTCACTGCCGTATTTCGGATTATTGCTGTTTTCCTAAATTGTAATCATTTTCAATGTATCCTTTGAATCAAAAATGTCCAGTTTACTTTTAGCATTTAATTCTTACAAAAATAATCATAAGGTGACAGAAATCAATTGTGATAAATGTCAATAATTAGCAATGAAATCCAAAATATATTGATAACTCTAATACTTATAGATACTTTCTGTTTCATTTTAGTTGTGTGGCATGATACATTTTTGTTATGTGTGGAATATGTGTGTCTCTACATACAGTACAGTACATACACTAGGTTTATTTGGTGTTTTTGACCAGAAGTTCAAGCGGAGGTCAAATACTAATCTTGCACTTCTGCTTCCAAGAGCATAGAAGTTCACTGGCTGAACAAGGTGTTGCCTGCACATTTCTTGCACCTCCAGCCCCAAATCATCCTTTCATCAAGTGTCCTGGCTCATACTTATAAGTGAGGGTTATATGACTGTGTTGATCTCCAACCAATCATTTTCTATTCAGAACATTTTTAGAAGTTGACCCAAAGATAAAATAAGATATAAGGTAATTGTTTTTTTTTCCACTGGCAAAAGAAATTGTGTATAAATTCCTTGGAAGAGGGAAGATGGATGAGGATAGAAAATACAGTATGTCATATGTGAGATTTCTGGAGCCTCTTTTAAAATTATTTCAAAATATGACAAGCAGTGAATGTATAAGCCATCCGACACTGTTCAAGGAAACTATGGACGGTATCTGACAGTTCCAGCAAACAGATACTGAAGGAAGATATAACACCTTGTCTCTTCATTAACATGACTGCTGTTACCAATCTTATTACTGCTGGTTCCTTTCAGAGATACAGTACTAAAGCGCCAGTGAATTGTGTGGCCAGTTTTTGTTTTCTCCCATCTTACAGGCTATAAGAGTGTAGCCTAACTAGACAATATATTTATCAGAAGTCTGAGTCCTCTAGAAAACTAATTGAAATTGATTGCATGCATCTGCAGAGCCATAAACCCTGATTCAGAATAGCAGCTTTTACCTTAATTGTAAAGACAGGTATCCTGTTGACGTTCCTGCTTTTAGCAAAGCATTCAATTAAATAAATAACAGACAACTTCCAACATCAAACATTTATTGCTTAGGTACTGTCAACAACAAGACAAGCATCTAATTGAATTTTACTAGATGTTTGAAGTAAAATTCAAAATTTTGTTAATTTACAAAGATTCAGTTCTTTTAGTCTGTCAGAGTAAGATAATTCTTTGAGCCCAGGAGTGTACCTGGCTTCCTTGGTGCTCAAAATTCTGAATACGGTCTTACTAGGCTTACTAATGCACTGTACATTTTAAACGCAACACGCCACTTATTTTATATATTTTATATTTGTAATTTCTGGTTTTCCTACTAGCGTGTAACACCGAACACTTGTTTACACAAAACATTAGTTTTGTGCT